TGCTAAAATAATTGTAGTAGTCATGTAGAAAAATTTTGAAATCTGAATGTTTTTCGATGAAATCTCTTCGAAAAATCTCATGAAATTAAATTTTTTTCTTCTTATTTTTGACCTATTCTGAACATTTCTTCGCAGATCAAATTGACTATACTACATTTTTTTGGGGCCCCCCTATATGTAAAGTAGTCAAAAATGGACATTTGCAAACGGACTTACTTTTTATTTTCCAGAAAGCCTCTGGAATGAAATCCTCAATTGCTTGATATCTTTCCACCACAAAACCTAATGTTGGAAATTGACAAGACCCATAACTTATAAGTTTCTCAGCTAATTTCTGAGGAAACACCTGTTGCAGTCTTAAGGTTTGAAGCCTAGTGAATGCGGCCCCTAAAATAAGTCCGTCTTTGTGAAAATAAAAATGTTTGTTTTAGAACAAAGTTTTTACCAGTTCTCAAATCTAGCTCTTGCCTTACATCAACTGCATCGCTAACATGTTTATTTGGCTGACATAAAGTACTTAAAGCCCTAAAAACTGAAGCTGCAGTGATTTCTGAGAACTTTGCCCGGTAAATCTGCAACTGCGGCTTAATATCTGTACAAACCTTGATTATTTCAAACCCAATATTTTCACCTTCTCTATCACAATCTGTCCATATTATTAAGCCCTGACAGGAACGAATTTCCCTTTCAAGGGTTTTCTTTAAACAATAATTACCAGGTATAGTTTGTATTGCAATTAAATTGCCAGCTCAGATAATAAGTATTAAGCAAGATTGGGTACCGTACCTTAATTTTCTCGTAATCTTTTGGACAGCTTTTAACAACTGGAGCATCAAATAGAACTAATGGATTACAACTTTGCCAGCTTCGATAAGAGGATACAAACTCATAGTTAAGCAAATGGCCAGATACAGAGGTCATGACCATTTGGCAGTTTGTACCGAAAACTTGGGCGTTAAACTCGTAGATCTTGTTGTAAGGAGAAAACCCTTCTCTCTATTAATGTATAATAGTTATTATGTACACGACTGTTTAAAAATTGAGTTGGGCTTACCCTATTTGAATTGCCCCTTGATAAAATTGAAGCGATGTTCTTAGCAGCGTCATTTTTTTCTGCTACGTTAAGATACTTCATAACATTCGGTTTTGCTTGCGAACAATAAACTCGGGTTGAAAATATCCTTAGTTGTATGCAGTTTTGTAAAAACCCCATTTGTTGACATATCTTCCGGTTTAGATGATTTTTGCTCTAAAAATTCGAGGTTAATCTCTGATGCTAATCTTCTTTACATGTTTACAACCCCAGATCACAGACGTTATAGATTGGAAATTGACATATAAGCATGTAGAATGCTACTTGTCTCTTCCCAGCGGCTGCTTTCCAAACTTGGAGTCTCCCTCCACTGCTTGCAGAAGAAAACTTCTTTAACGATAATGTTCACATCGACAGAGATTCTAATTCAGTTTATGACCTCTGCAAATGCTCCAAATTAATGGTTCCTTATTTAGACTAGAATTCATAAAGAAAACCAAAGAACAAACGATCGTCGTCCTCAAGGCCAAGAAAGCAGACACTGAGATTCTTAACATTTGCAAATCCGAACAGTTCGGACGTCCTTCTACCACTACAAAAATGCAGTTTTTATGCAAATTCAAAATTTCAATAAAAAAGAAGAGTGAGAGAAAGTACAAAAAGAGTAAAGACAATGAGATTTTGGACTGATTCATCAGCAGCATCAACTGCCGATTGAGACAGGAGGAAATGGTTCTTATGTCTTAAAGAGGGACAAAACACAGACGACCAAAAAAAACCCGATATTTAAACAATTCGAAATTTGAAAGTTTTCGACTTCTTCCTATCACTACAAAAATACAATACAATGTCCAAATAACAAATTAAACGTTTCAAAAAACGATTTTAAGATGCAGTTCTTCGCTATTTAACCTACATTTAGGATTGGAACCCTGTGGATGAGGAAGCGAAGCAAAAAAAGCTCGAAAACGAAATTAAACAGTTAAACAAGATCTCGTGCTATTTCCGGTTCGAAGGACCAAACATTCTTAAGTGAGATTCCATTTTCAAATTGAAACAACATGCAATTCAAGTTCTTTCTATCACTAGAAAAGTCCTAAGCAAGTATCTTGATAGCCGCTAAAAACCGAAAATTCTGCATTTACAAAAAAAAAGAGTATTCGAATCCGATGATACAGATCTTTAAATTAACCCGAATTGCCCATCACTAGTTAGACAGAAGGCTTTCAGTTTTATTTTTAAGGTTATAATTATTGTTTTTCGACACATATAGAAAATAGCGAAACTAGATACCAGAAGAAAACTAAAGTTTTGGCAAGCCATGTCAACTGAAGAGCCAAATGAGCCAGTTCGCACTGTGTTGTCTTCAAAGTTTAGTGGCGGACCTCATGGTTTAGGTAGTAAAATTTTTCATTCACATTTTTATATAGCTGATTACATACCCAACCCTTTGCAGGAGATCCCAACGATAAATTCTTGCGTAAAGTTGAAAAGGATATTTTAATTCCCAAGAAAATGAGAGACATTGCTCGTGTTGAGAAATGTTTCGAAGAAGTTGAGCAATTTACCGAATGTTGTAAAGTGAACAATTTGTTGATGGTCGTCAAATGCAGGAATCAGAACAGTGCACTAAAAGAGTGTCTTACAAAATGGTATAACGATGAAGAGTTTAAAGAGCGATGTAAAAAACTGTATCTAGAAGAACGAAGTGATTATAGAAGCACTGGAATTGCAAAAAACCCTAGACAAAATAGAATAGGCTCAAATATGTGATTCAGTAGATACGTAATTTAATTGAATATAGTGATAGTTGGATTTGGCATAGTGTTATTCAGGCAGTGTCACCCCTCTCTTGTGATGCAATCCATCTCTTTACCAGGATTTCTTGTATTTCAATATTCGTCAAGTCTTCATATGTTACAGCACTGTTCTGGGGCCATTTCAACCTACATATTAGTAAATCCTAGAAATAAGTTGAAATAAGCCTCAAACTCAGAAACAATGAACAGTGGTTACCTTTCCTGCAGTCTCACAAAGTCTATTTAAGCCTAATATGGATATGTTGTCCATGGATCGATTTGTTAATGATTCTATTCTTTTCCCGGCTGTATCAACAACGTCTATAACCACTATGTAAGTGGAATGGTAAAACGGAGGCCCCTCTTTGTACAACACTACAAAATCCTTTGTTTAGTCTATACTACAAAGTGTTGTTTAAGTGACTTACTAAAATCTCCCCCAAATTTAATTCCAGGCTTTACAACCCAATTCTTGCACCTGTAGTAAAAATAGACCACATAATTTCGGGTGAAATTAGGCTGCGCGTTTTGAAACAGCCCCCATAGTTTTTCGATGCTTGCTATTTCGCCCTCGAAGCTCACATTAAGGCATTTGACAACACTCGTAAGGAAAAATGCTTCCTCTAATCCTAGCCAGAGTTCCTCTTTCAAACAAGAATTGTCTATGGCGTATTTGGGCCGTAAATTCGTAAAGTAATCGTTTTCTGAGTCGCTATCAGGAACTACTATGACTTTCTCAGGCTTCATTTTGATGGCAAATTGTTCTGAGCAGGCTTTTCTAACTGTAAGCTGTCTTTGTCTCACAATTTGTATGTTATCGCCTCTTGAAAATTGCGGATGACTTCGAGACAAATTGGCTTTACCAAAATACCCTTTGGAAATAAGTGTTTTCATGTCCTCTGGGTTAGCCACAGTAACAGAAAATCCGTTAAAACACGCTGCAAAAGTTTTCAACGTTCCATCTTTCTTGAAAACGATGGGTAGTGGTAAATCTCTGGCTAGTCTACAATTTTTCTTTGGCTTCGGTTGTGGAAGTTCCATCATATCTTTGATTTTAAATACTGGCGGGCATCAGTGTTACCAGTAGCAGCGAGTATTGCATTCAAAAGATTGGTCATATGATCAATCTGCCAGTGTCAGCTGATTGAGACTACGTCGATAATCACAAGACTCGTAAAAATCCTCTGTTCAGTTTTGTGAAAAGTTGTTTCTAATCGTATCAAGAGATTTTTCTTTTGGAATAATGGCTGGAAACTTAGCAGGGGCTGACCCTAAATTCAAGGAAATAATTACGTCGCTGGACGATGACAAAATAGGTAAGCGCAAATAACCCTTACTTTAATATGTGCCAGTTCGCCAATTAATCATTTTTGAAATAAAATTCTTATAATTTACCTTTATGCAACTTTCCAATTTCGGTGCTACGAGTCGCAATTTATGAAAACCCAACTATTTATTTATTTCCTTAAAGAAAACATGAAAACTAGGCGTGGATAATGAAACTATTCACGTGACATTGGTCAAGTTTTATTTTCACTGAAGCTACTGGGCATCATTTGTTTACTTTATTTTTGAGACGACAGACAGAGATGCAACTATGTTACAATTTTTATTGAATTTGCCTCACATTTTTTATCACTTACGTTTCAATTATTTAACATGATGTTCCCTAGTTTATATAAGAACTTTTCTAAATGTTAGATAATATTATTGTTTTGTAATATTGGGCCCACACTAATTTATCATATTAATATACAAGGTGATTGAAAATTATCGTCCTCCCGAACGATCACAGTGTCACTTCTCTGAAGCTGAGAGATTTCCACAAAAATACACTTAAACTAAGGCAACAGTGTAACATTTGCACCTGTATGAAATATCAATGGTTTAAAACTTATTAAAAACTTTTTTGCTATGCCAATTTACAACTTATATCCTTTAGAAGTACAGTATAACTGTGTGTTCCGAATTAAATATTGCAACGGCAAATGCGAATTTCCGTATTGTTTGAATTAACCATTTTTTTCAAGGTTACTGTAATTAAAATGTCTTTATTTTTACTTTTAATATAAACAATATTCCTGGGTTTCGGTCATTTATTTAGATATCACAATTTAGTCAATTTTCCTAAAAATATTTCGGTGCTTTTCCACCATCAGCAGTTTGTACTTGTGTTAACTTACAACCAGTTGTTAAAATATTTTGTCTATACATATACACGAAATATAAGAAAACGTTAAAATTCTGGGCTTTTTAAATAAAAACGGTTATTTTATTAGCGCAGCTTGTCTTTACTAATTACTAAAACACTTTAAAATTACGATACACTAAAACATTCTAAAATTATTAAGACTGACAGCAAGATCCTACAATTTGGAAAAAGAACAGAATTCCACCTTTGAGAATTTTAAATTATTACCGCTACTCGTACATAAATAAAGGAACACGTTATCCTCTAATAACGTGAAAAGTAATTTCTTTACTAATACGCAGGCTCAGAATATCGGATAACGTAAAACGTGTTGCAATTAAGGGGACTGAAAACTTTTACTTACTAAAATCTAACAAGAATGTTTTGTCGTGTCTTTGCTGGTCGTTGGGTGTCTGATAATGTGAATCAGGCTTTACACACACGTGTAATTGGCCCAAGTTAGTGGCCAATAAATCGGGAAAAAGTGCGTAGTATAATTCCGGCATTACTGATTTTTCTATAGACTTTCTCGCAATTTGGAAATAAATTTTGAAAATTTCTCTTCCATCTACATCTCAATAAAATCTGTATAGTCTATTTCTTCTTATCCAACTAGTTTGATTATTATTTTTTGTTTCGTATTAAAAAGGGGAACAAAACATTTTTTTCGGTCCAAGATGTGGTTAAAGAATTTTTTTTTCAATTTTTAAATCAAGTTATGATGTGCGAGGAAAACTGAAGCAGAGCAATTTTAGATTAGGATATCAGTTTTTATTATATTCGTTATTACCAGACTGGCAAAAATTTTTAGTTTTCAGAAGCAATGATTTTCATACGAAGTTCGTCAACAAAAAATATTATACTGGGTGTTTTAAATATTGTCAAAGTATATTATATATTATTATTAAAATTATATGTATAAATATTGTAAAATATTTAATAAGGTAATACTATGGACCAAAATAATCAAATAAACCTTAGTACGCATGGTACCAACCAAAGTACCGGTTTTCAAGATCTGGTAGTTTATTCGTTTTGAAGCATTTATTACTTATGTTGTATACATATATAATATTTATATATACATATAATATTTATATACACATATAATAAAGCTTGTTATGTTTATAACAACCTTCCAAATCCAATATCACAAAGTTAAGTTATGAAAAATGTTGAATGTCTGAAGCATGTTGAATTATTTCTAATCTCTGCGTTTGGGATTTGTTGAATTTTTAATTAACTCGTAGCTGAAACTCCTCTAAAAGATAAACATACACTAATGATTTACAAGTACATTCAGTGTATTCATTAATAAACATATTCATTTTTATATGCATAAGAAAATACAAGTTCGAAAAAAAAACTAATTGCTACCCATGTTCACTGAGACTTTTTGGTTTCATTTGGTTTATATTATTATTTCTTATTATTTACCATTAATGACAATTTATAAACCGTACTACATACTAGTAGTGGCAAAAAGGTCGTAACAAGCCGTAAATGTTCAATTTGCGTTTAAACTAAACCGCAAAACAGTCTAGAAGAAAATAATTTTCAAAACATTGTATTCAGTTTTTTCATGATTTACTAAGGAACACCTTGTATATTTGCAATTTATATAAGCTTTGAATCACAACGATGCATTAATATTTTGAAAAAGTTGGCATTCTTTACAAAATCTATTTTGGTGCACTCCTATTGCTTCATATTTTAGTTAGTGCACGATCAACGATATCTGTTTTTATTAACACTTGGTCTATAAAATGACCATTTCAGATATGCTTGCCGCCACCAGTGTTCTACAACAAAAGGCTACGGATATACGTAACCAAAAAGTGAATTGGCAATCGTATTTCCAGTAAGTTTAACATGTTGGACTTTACTGGACTTGTTCATTATGAACTGCGCAATGTTTAGGTCTCAGATGATTTCCCAAGAAGACTTCAACTTTATTGTGGCCTTTGATGTGAACGATAGCCAAAATAAAGTTGCCTTGTTGAGGAGGGATAGAACCCAGGCAGCTCAAACTTTACTCAACTTATTGGGGCATGTGTCCAAGGATCAAACTTTGCAGTATATTTTAGTTTTGGTCGACGACATGTTGCAAGTAGATATCCTGTTCTATTAACAACTGATTATTAGTTTCACAATTAGACTTGCAATTTAAAAGCTACACTTATGGTTGAGGTCTATTGCAAACTGTTATCTTTAGGAAGATCGTTCAAGAGTCGAAATTTTCCATGAGTACGCTACGCTCAGGAAAGAGCCAATGTGGGCACCATTCTTAAATCTTCTGAATCGTCAAGATGGTTTCATCACAAACATGACCTCAAGAATCATTGCGAAGATCGCTTGCTGGTCTCACACACCCATGGAAAGGTCCGATTTACATTTCTACTTAACTTGGTTGAAAGACCAATTAAAATCTCAGGTATGAAAATTAATTAAATGCATGTTCATGCATGATATTTTTGTCTTTTATTTTGCATCTTGCATGTTTGAAAGTATTGTAAATAGATCGATTATGGTTTTCTTGAATGTTTTCACTCGTTTCATTCTAATGTGCGGCAAACGGTTTTACAAAACTTTTGAACATTTATCTTACATGTTTTTTTTTGGCTTTTATTACTGACGCTTGCAAATGCTTTACTGTAACTAATATCATGTCGGCTTGTGTAAACGTTTTGGTTTATTAGTAATTTTGCTTCATCTAACTAGCACCTTAGGTCCATAATACCATTTCAATACTTTTATTAACAATGTATTTTTAAATAATTCAGTGGCATATATTACGACCAAATAATATATTTTATAGTTCGTGGAAGGTGTTGTAAACCTGTACATAGCACGTCGTTTTAACAAAACGGTATTAGAGCAACTAAAGATTAAAAAATTTGGATATAAGTATATACTGACACATTTACGATTTACGCTTGTTGGTCATCTTAATAAAGTTTTACTCTGAACGAGATAACCGCACATTAATATATTCAAGCAAAGATGGCAGAAAACAAGATAGAAAATCTGCATCTCAGTTATCAATCCTCTTTGGTAGTAAAACATTATTATACATGTGAGATTTGGAATAAAATTTCATATAGAATACGTAAAAATAAAGTTATTCGCTCTAATACTGACCGAAAATATTTAAGAAAAGGAATAGATCTTATGTCCCCCATATAGGAACTAAAAAACAAGCTACACGCTGCAAAAATGGTTCCAAAACGGGAATCCCGCGGCTGCAACAGCATTATAGCGGGGGCAAATTCCATCTTATTTGGTATGTCATTAGCGGATGCCACCAGAGTGGCTCAAGAGGTAATCCGTACCCTACATTGCGCTGGTAACGTTCAATGTTGAGTGTCGTTTGTGTTCTCGGGACTACACACTAACGTTAGAAATGATTTTGTGTTTGTTACTAAACTAGCTATATAGACGGAGTGCATAATTCGAATAAAAACACTTTTGAATGTGTGGAAATAATAATATGTACATATTTATGTATAATTTGTAAGTTAACGGCAAGTACATACTGAAATGTAATTCAGACGTTTTTACTATTGCGATGATTTAATACAATTTTATTACTGCCAACCTCGTTAAATAATGAGAAATTAATGGGCTGCATGCACGATTTTTTATTATTTTATTGTGATGGCCCCTACTATCCTCAATTTTTTTTAGAAAACTGCAATAAAATCCTGCGAGTTAAGTTTGAGGAATAATAATTAAATTGAATATTTCTCCATATTTTGCATATAAAAGGCATATTTATCTACATGTTTTATGTGAATACTAGCTGTGAGCTCTATTGCATAATAATTTCATAAGACCTAAATTACTTTCAAGCTTTACTTAACTTTGCACTTTTTGGACAAAGGTTGTTGGACAATTGCGTGGTTTATTTTACAACTTTTAGCACTTTGCAATTGTAATAATTTCAACTAAGCTCGTAAACTAATTTTAATTCAGAACTATTCAAATAAACACAAGAGCGAAATATTACTGAAGCATGCAAGTAGCCCATTGATTACTATAGGGTCTTTAGTTGCACATTTTTTACCAAAAAAAAACATTATATTTCGTATTTCACTCTCAAACTTCTTAACATTTCATCATTACCTATTTTCTTGATAACGGCAATTGGTTTCATTTATTTCTAATTGAGAAAAACGTTAACAAAGTTCTTCCACCTTTTTACTATTTTAAAACTCTTGCTCACACTGTATTTTTAATGACCAAAATTTCATTAATTAATTATTTCGCATTTTACTGCATTAAAATAATTCATGTGTTGTTGATTGTTGGTTTGTATCACTTTGTGTTTTTGCCAGAAACTGATTCCAAAACTAACGTCGATGTTTAGCCATTGAGACGCTGAAGCTTGAGAAGAGGTTGGGGGCTACAAAAATGGGCGCTCTATTTTTAAATCTTTTAACTTTTTGTAACTTTGGTGTTAGTGATTGATCGATATTGATCATTGATCAACTGAGAACCTTTCACGAAAAATTGCCAGGTCTTTGAAACTCACTTTTACTACTCATTATTATGTTGAATGGTTGGTTTTAGTATGATGCTTTGGCAGCCTTACAGACCTCCGATTCACTTAAGGGTGAAGCGACAGAACATTATTCAAAGAATCGTTTCGATGAGCAGGGGCTATCAACGTCTGAAATTTCGGTATACATACTTACATACATCAATACAAGTGTATTTAATTATTGCTCTTATATGAATCAAATATAGTTTTTGAATTTTAATTTTATATTCAAAAGAGAATTATCTCAGCAATATTTAAATATGCTTACTTACACACGGTGCCATTTTGATAAACTCATTTATTTATTTTCGTAGTGAAATTCAAAGTAGAAAAATGTATGTTAATTTAAAATAAATGCATTTATCAAATTGGTTTTTGCCAAAGCATATCGTTTAATAGATAAGATATACATACACTATACACTCATGGCGTAGGTTTTCATAGGAGGCAGGGTCACAAAAAAACGTTTTTCTATAATCCAGATTTTCAAGGCATTAAATGGACATTCAAAAACTATTTCTGTGGTATAAGTTATGATTCATAACTTGCACCTAAATGTTTCCAAATTCACGCTTTGTTTAAACTGTTTAATTGATATTGTTTCAACTTTTACAATTAGTATACAGGCTAATAAATTAGCGGGACGATTCTCGGATCCATGTTAAGAAAAAACTTCAGGTGTTATTCAAACTTTCGAGATACAAGGGAGCAAATTTTCGGAAACAATATTTCTTTAGCACGACTGTGATATTATTGAAGATATCTTTATGAAATTTCGTGCACGCCTTCAACGCATGAAGTTGCATTTTCTAATGTGCAGAGATTTTGATTATTTTTACTAGTGGCGTTGGAACCGGTTTTGCAATGAATCCTTTTGGGGAACAAAACAGTATGCCACTGTTTTCTCTTAAAATAATAATAATTTCTTAAATTATCATTCATTTCTGAGCAGATTTTATCTTTTGATTTCATTTCGTCCGGCGCATGATTTTAGCTTTAAAATTTTTAAAGCCGTGTTACTAAATTGCTTGTGTATAGCATATAAATAAGCTTTTTTGTTAAAAAAAAAAATATGACATACATTTTTTCTCCTAAAATATTCATTGCAAAACCCGTAAGCACTGATAAAAATATTAACATTTTTTTCTACATCAGCAAATACATTTAGTATCACAGTCCTTATGAAGTGATTTGTAGTTTCTCTTCTTCTCCGGGAACTTATTTCTAAAAATGGATAATATGAATAATTCAAAAGGAATACTTCTAATATAAAAAAATGCCTGAGAGCCATTTCAATCAAATCAAAACCAATGTTTTTATTCGTGATATGGTGATTTGTTCTTATTTTCACAAACGCAAAGATTTACGTTTATTTACGTTTAGATTACTAAAGTCCATATTGGACAAGTAAAGTTTGAATTAATTGTAAATTTGTTTTAAAAAATGTATATATACTCGTCTATTGGTCTCAACGACTAATCCAGAATAAAGCAGCAGAAACATTGCTTTTTAGAACTTGATCAAATAATTCTACATTCATCCATCAACAGGTAAGTAGGTTTTATTCCGTGGATTTGCATGCATTAGTATTTTTGGGCTATAGGCATCTATTAGACAGTTCCTACAATATTTGCTCCATAGGCTCATTTTTAAGTTGCAATGTTATGTAAGAATCTTCTTCCACATAGTTTTTCATGTACAAATACGACTCATTTTTTCACTGCTTGTGATTCAATATAAAATTTAATCTTTGTTGATAAAATGATGGACAAATATCTCATGAGCTTGAACTGATTACCATAGCGTTGTAAGATAGTAGTTCGTTGAAATATGTTGATAGAATAATAAATAATTTACCTAACTATGGTTGCATGTGAGATTTTGCATGAAACTTGTTAACAATTATCTCATATTTATTAAAAAGCAACTCAATCGACAAAGCAGCATGTGATGCGAAAAAATTGTTGTTGATTATGTTAAAAAATATATTTTATTGTTCGGTCTTCTGATATAATTATGCGCCATTCAAAAGACATCGCCTAGCATAGACTATGGCAGTTATATGTTCAGTACAAGTTAATAACATTACATTGATAGTTTGGCGTATTTAGTATATTGGCTAAGATATTTTATTTTTATTTTTAACTAGAACAATGAATACATCCAATCTGTTGCAAGATGTCTCCAAATGATGCTTCGCATCGATGACTATCGATTCGCATTCGTTTCGGTCGATGGTATCTCGACTCTTTTGTCTGTCTTAGCTGGAAGAGTTAACTTTCAGGTAAGTTAATCTGATGGATGTTTTTTCCTTAATTTCAGTTCTTAATTTTTTCAAGGTTCAATATCAACTCATTTTCTGCTTGTGGGTGCTAACATTCAACCCACTGCTGGCCGAAAAAATGAACAAATTCAACGTTATTCCAATTTTGGCTGATATATTAAGCGACTCCGTCAAGGAGAAGGTTACAAGAATTATTCTGGCTGTATTCAGAAACTTAATTGAAAAACCCGAAGATGCGCAAGTGGCCAAAGAGCACTGCATCTCAATGGTTCAGAGCAAAGTAAAACATACCATTCATTATATTATGTTATTTTTGTTAATTGCGTGAATATTTGTGCAGGTTCTTAAACAATTGCAAATTTTGGAACAAAGAAAGTGTGACGATGAAGATATTACTGCTGATGTTGAATTCTTATCTGAGAAATTGCATTCTTCAGTGCAAGATCTCAGTTCATTCGATGAGTATGCTACAGAAGTAAGTTTCAGTAACATGTTGTATAGAGTTTGGAACGTGCAGATATTTTTTGTGGGTGTTTAGAAGGTAATTTAAGGGACAACTTTTTTATTTGGGCTGTCTATCAGGGTATAATCAGACCTGAGAATGAACAAAAATGTTTTGCTGATTCGCTAAAATCGTTTTTTTAGTGCGTTAACAACTAGTTTAGTGATGTTTTATAGCGGCCTTTTTTGTGCAGCTTAGGTCTTTGAATAAACTCCTTAACAGCCTTGTTTTCAACTCTCTCAGAACTTTTCCCGCGATAGCAAACGCCAGAAGGAGTAAAGCACCTTAACATTAACATTCAAAATTTGCTGATTGCACTTATTTATAAGAACGAGCTAGTTTAACTTAGCAGACGTCGAAAACATGGTTTTCGTATGAGTTCGTACGGTTTTATTCAAAATTTATTTGAGGTATTTTGCCTATATTTTACATGGTTTATGTAAAATTTTTGTTGGGGTTTTTTAAAATCGATTAGTTTTGCCCGGGAAGCCCAATTTATATTAATTTATTTCAAAAATTCACTGAAAAATTACTTTTTACTAGGGCTGGGAATTTTAAAAAGTCTGAAATTCCAATATTCGTTTAGTGGTTTATTCCAATAGTAAAATTATTCGAATACTCGAAGTATTTCGTTAGATATTCGCAAAAGTTGATAACGCGAATCACCAGAACACAGAGACTTAATTTTATATTCATTTGCAGGAAAGTAAATATGATTATTTTCATTTGCTTGTAAATATATGGGTATTTGTTTAAATGCTTGTAGAATATGAATAATTTATTTTATAAAAGTATACAAAGTGTATATAAAGATATTTGCACCTTGGTGAGTTTGATAATGTTGGTGTATTCGAGTCTTCGAATATTCGAGTATTCGAGTTATGAATACACATAATTATTCGCTTTTCGAATATTCGAATGCTCGAATTATTCGAGTTTGATTCCGAGCCCTACTTTTTATACACGCTCTTACCATATTTACATTCCGAAACAATCTGCCTGCATACATCATCTGCTCTGATAGCGAGTTTCGGACTGAAATTTGTTTTATTTTCTAAAAGTTGTCGACGTTTCGATCATGTCCTTCAACTTTTTAATAAAGCTTATTTTAATTTTAATTAAATTCTTATAAGATAAAACGAGATCCAAACCCGCTTTCAGAACAGACATTAATAAGTTTTGGGGTCGTTACTGCAAATACATACTCTGTATGTCGAAATAACGTTTATCGAGCTCTTTTAGGTGAAATCCGGACGATTGGAATGGTCACCAGTGCATAAAAGCAAATTTTGGCGTGAGAACGCTCAACGCCTCAACGAGAAGAACTATGAACTTCTGCGCATTTTGATTCACCTTCTGGAAACAAGCAAAGATCCCCTGGTTTTGTCTGTTGCAAGCTTCGACATCGGGGAGTATGTCAGACACTACCCCCGCGGAAAACAGTGAGTTGCAAAATTTATTTGTTTACAATTATTTATATTATCGACTGATTAAATATGTTGTAAGAATCTAATTGAAATTTACTATGAGAAGTAAGTAAATTTTTATTCTGGGAGGTTTATGATTGGGGAACAATATATCCTTTTTTTTAGCGTGATTGAGCAACTGGGTGGAAAAACACTTGTAATGCAACTTCTTGGCCATGAAGATCCAAACGTACGGTATGAGGCCTTGCTAGCAGTGCAAAAATTGATGGTTCATAATTGGGAATATCTGGGCCGTCAACTAGAACAAGATACCGGCGCAGATAAAGGCGTTTCAAAGGGCGGTTCTCAAGTTGCAGGAAAAGCGTAATCTTTATGTAGCTAAAAATTCAGCCAGCATTCAAACAGTATTTTTATTGGTTTTTATAGACATGGAAGTCAAGTACATTCGACTTCTGATGATAGCTCTGTTACTTGGCTTTAATTAATATGTGCATGTAGTTGCAAGAATTTCACAACACTTGGTAGTTTTCGTATTGTATAAAATTAGGCAGACTTTGTTGATGTCAGTTGACTTTTTAGGATAAGACATATTGAAGATACTGAACGGCTCCCATGGTTTCCTTTATTTAATCCAACATTATGAAACTACTTAGAATTCAATACAAAACTTCGCATAGTAATAACCCCGCTAAAATCAACATTCCTAAGCTATTTTGGAATACATTTTACTTGAACATTATATGTATATAACTTAAATGTTTTAATAGTCGTTAGTGATTTGTTTCATTATTGTCTATTTTAAAATAAATATCTTATGTTATCACAATGTCGTTTTTAAATACGGTGAAATATCTCTTAACGAACATCTCTGTCATGCATAGATATTCAATATGCGCACATTTTTTCACATCCAGAATTCGTTATTAGGAAATACCGTATAAAGTATAGTTATTTGAGCGGACTTTTTCGTAGCCGAACGCGGACACTCTTGGGTTGAAAAAATGTTTAATCTTATGTCTTGAAAAACTACCGAGCGATAAGGACGAATGATTTGTCTGTTGATGAGAGTGTGAAAGTGAAGACATGAGAAATGCATCGGCGTAAAATTGGCAAAATTAAGATCAACAATTTGCATTGAGTTAACTTTCCCTGTTAACACGGAAAAAGAAGGAATGTGTTGAATAGGAAAGCATACAAGGGCACTAAAAAAACATAAATGTAAATGTGATCTGCAAGGTCATCAAGAAGGTCTGGATGACCAAAATTAATGGAACAATTTTCAGTGAATTTGATCGAAAGATCGAGATAGAAAAATAAGAATGTTACTGGTTCATAATGTTTGCTCACATTGTAGAAACATTTACCTAAAAAACATTCAACTGCCTTAGTTACCACCCGACTTCACATCCGTTGTTCAACCACTAGAATAGAGGATATTACAAAATTTTAAAACATTTATAGGACGACTTTGATTAAAACATTATTGAAAAAGATGCAGTCAACAAGAAATCAAATCATGTGTGTGCCTAAGAGAGACCATTTTTTCACCATTGATCTTTATGCTGTTGAGTATTATAGAATAGCATTGTAAAACCGTGTACACCTATTGTATTTGCAATATCAGTAGTTATGGTTCTTGACTAATTCATGTATCAAGGAAAGTTAGACTTTCTTAAAATTCAAGTAGAATAAATCAAGCAAGAAAACAGTAACATCGCTTTATTTATCTGGAATGACAAAGTATAGAAATTCAACAAAAAATTTGTACTTCTGCAACTTTTGCTAAATTAAAATTGAAATGTAAGTAGCTTCTATGTACAATTGTACTTATCGCATTATGCGCTGGCATATATTTCAAGCTGCTTTAATCTCCTTTCATCTAGCTTATGCAAAAATGTTTTTACATTATTATTTTCAATATTACTGAAAGGCCGACTAGCATCCACTTGCAATTCTTTACAACCACGCTGATATTGGAAAATGCATGCCAATAAGTGCCAAATTCCAAATTCGGGCCACAAAACTTTGGTAAAGCATATTTGGCTGTTTGCAGTCTGCCACAAAAGAAAGTCACTTAGTCTTACTTCCCCTGACGTTCTTACTAGTAAGTCGGGATTGGGACTTTGATTAGTGTACATGCAATAAGATATAAGATTTTCATTTATATCATTGCAAACAATATCTCCATTTTTCACTGCCTCATTGATCACTTTAAGACTATTTACTATCTCATCTCTTGATGTATATGCAAATGCTACATTCAAGATAGCTTTATCATTATTTCGAGTCATCAGCATCGCCTTAGCTATCAGCTTCCTTAAATCTTCTGGAACTAAAGTTAAGTTTCCAATAACTCTGATACAAACACCATTCTCCATAAGTTTGTCCTTCTCCTCAAAAAGCTTGGCAAACTTCTCTCGGGCCAACTGTAATAATTGGTCGACCTCGTCGTTTGTACGTTTGAAGTTTTCAATGCTAAATGCGTAAACGGTGACTTCTTTAATTCCTAATTCTAAACACCAACTCAGACAATCGGACAGCTTTTGAAACCCCTTAGAATGGCCATCTACTTTCTCCACTTGGTGCTTTTTGGCATAGCGTCTATTACCATCCATTATAAATGCAATATGCTTCGGAATTGGGCCACTTTTTAACACATTAATACAAAACTTTTGGAATATCGTTAGCGAATTATCGGCTATCCAAGTCATTTTTAGTAATCAACAACAACTACTAACCCTACTTTTGAATTTTTGAAGAACACCACGTCAGTTCTCTTCTTCCCTCAAACTTATGACCATAGATAAAGACAATAGCTTATGACGGTGCGCTACCTTTGTTTATCTACCACATATGTAAACAAAAGCGCTACTTTTTTAAATATAAAAAGTTATTCAAAAACTGTGGAGATTTATTTGAAAAAAGGTCCTTTATTATGTGACTTTCTTTTCAGTTTCAGATGTATGTTATGGAAAATATATATTTTCAGAGCATAAAACTATTTTTGTTGGTAGTGGCACTTGACGCTTTAAGGTGACATCCTGACAACGTCAAAACTTGATTATTTGCAAGTCAGTTACTAAACAACCCAAGTCATCTCGGCATTGTAAAAATCGGTTCAAACCTTTCGTGTTCCTTGGTTCCCGAATATAAGGAGACTACATTTATAATGGACAGATTACTGAGATTGGGTGGTGGAATGCCGGGTTTAAGTCAGGCGCCTCCTGCCAGTGATGCCCCAGTTGTGGACACTGCAGAGCAGGTGTACATTTCCTCCCTGGCCCTTCTGAAGATGTTAAAACATGGAAGAGCTGGAGTACCTATGGAAGTCATGGGCCTTATGCTAGGTAAACCAAATTGCTTTTATTTCAAGCACCGCATAATAAATAGCACTTTATTACCCGGAAATCCAGTCCAAGAACAATCAAACATTCCAACGTCTTGTTTTAGGTGAATTTGTAGATGACTACACAGTGAGAGTGATAGATGTTTTCGCCATGCCGCAAACAGGTACTGGTGTAAGTGTGGAAGCAGTTGATCCAGTTTTCCAGGTAATACTTCTTTAATTCCCCAGTTTACCTTTGTTAACACTATTTGGTCACAGGCGAAAATGTTGGACATGCTCAGACAAACTGGAAGGCCCGAAATGGTAGTGGGTTGGTACCACTCTCATCCAGGGTTTGGATGTTGGCTCTCAGGAGTCGACATAAACACCCAGCAGTCCTTCGAGGCTTTGTCCGAACGTGCTGTTGCTGTTGTGGTTGATCCAATTCAATCTGTTAAAGGCAAAGTTGTTATAGATGCATTTAGGTAATTATTCGTCCCTTCATACTCAATCAATATTTCTTTATCATATAATGAATGAACATTTTATTTCTAATTTTGATTATTTCCAGATTGATAAATGCAAACATGATGGTACTCGGTCAAGAGCCTCGCCAGACCACGTCCAATCTTGGGCATCTTCAAAAACCATCTGTGCAGGCTTTAATTCACGGCCTTAACAGGCATTACTACTCAATAAGTATTAATTACCGGAAAAACGAATTAGAACAAAAGATGCTATTAAACTTGCATAAAAAGTCTTGGATGGACGGACTAACTCTAGCTGATTATTCGGAAAATTGTAGCACCAATGAGAAAACGGTAGCAGACATGCTGGAGCTTGCTAAAAACTATAACAAAGGTAAATTTTCCTTCGAAAAAAAATCACGGTTTTTGATATACCCATGACCCTTCTTAAAAGTTTATGTGACCCAGACGACGCACCTAAAAACCTCCCATTGCTAAATTCTGGTAAACATTTTTTATTTCACTCTGTGTTTCGAAGAGCGTCAACTTGTGGTTAATGATTTTAGCAACACTTTTGCGCCATGTAGCTACTTAACAAAGTAAAAAACTTCAGATTTCTGTGCCGAGAACTTTTCCTGATCTGAATAGTTGCCGCCTAAACGATTAGCACGCTAATAAAGCGTCAATTAACTGTATTTAAGTTTAATTTGCATTATTTCTTAACTTTTCAGCTCTTGAGGATGAGGAAAAAATGACCCCAGAACAGTTGGCCATTAAGAATGTCGGTAAACAAGATCCTAAGAGACATTTGGAGGAAAAAGTTGATGTCCTGATGACAAACAATATTGTTCAATGTTTGGGTGCTATGCTAGACACCGTGGTGTTTAAATAATATCTGTTTTGTGAACACTTTATATATGTCATCTCTTAACATACCTTTTAATACTTAATTTAAGATTTTTGTGAAATAAAACACTGTATTTCTTACACGATGATTTTTAATGATTTCGTTGGTGATTGACGGAACCAAAAAGTTACTTGAATTTGTTACTGAAAAAGTATCACCAAGTATCAATTTCCTTTTACTTAATTTAAAATTATCATGCAATGCAATAGTGTTAGGCACTTCGGAGAAAATGGATAATTGCCAATAAACATATACATTTTTAAATTATACTGATGTTGATGACTAATAACGTTTGAAATCTTCTTCAGCTGGAGTGCAAAATGGTAAAAAAATTATGATTAATATTTTTTTTTGTTCATGCTCTCTCGCTCTCGTGTTACAAAAGATGAGGCTTTTGCCACATAGATGGGGAGAAGAAGAAGAAGACTGAATAACGCATGACATTCTATTTTGAGGCCTTTCTTTATTTATTAGAGTGATTGGAGTAGAGACGTGGTAGAGACATGTACTTGATTCTGATTGGAGGCACCATTTGATCAGTTGGTTTCTGTCGTTTCTGTCACTATTTTATTAATTTGTCAGTAGTGTCAGGGGAGTTTCATCATACCGTTATCTTTATTAGCCGTATTCCAAATTATCCGGGCAAATAGTATACATTTTTCTTATTTTCCATATCAGCGAATAATTCAAAACATCTTTTACAATGCCACGAGGTAAGCATCAAAATTACAACATGTAAGGTTAGATATCATCACATTTCCACGCCTTTGAACTGATTCAATGAACACATCAGAGAACAATTACTGTTTACTATCTGCTTGAGTTGGCTCAAAACAATTACCTATAGCATTATAACATAATGTAACTGTACATAGTTTTTTAGATGCCATTTTGAACATTAACATGTTAAAAACCCTTCACACCCCGAAACAAACTCTATTAATAGAACGTCTATGTCTTGTTCTCTGGTTGTTTTCTTATGAACAACAATAACAATCTTTATCCAAAATAGTACTAGTCAGCAGCAGTCAAAACAACTCCGAATGTTGTTTTGAGATATTATGTTTCAATGTTTCATAACTTCTACTTAATTACAAGTAAAAAAAACTTCGAGTAGCCAGTTGAGGATCTAAACATCAAATAATTTAGTTCAAAATGTTCACATTCTTTGTTCTAGTACATTTCAATTCGTTCTTCATACATTTCCTAGTTCATTCACTGTTCTAATAAAAAGCTTCCAGAATCAGCGATCAGTATAATTAATGTATAGCCAAGATAGAACATTGATCGCGCTATAATTATTAATGCTTTGAACGGAATTCGTAGTGACCCGATTTATTTCCTTTTTGAAGTTCAATAAATTTAGAAGCGTTTGTTCTCGACATTTGATCAACCTTTATTGAAAAAGACTCCACAATGTTATATAAGCAAAAGGGACACGGTGCCAGTTTTCAATCGACTTTCATTTGTAATTGTTCACAATAGATTTTAGATTATGTACAAATTTATTGTGTTTGTTCAACTCGTTGAACCGTAAAACATGGTCCTCATCTGCTACAATTGGAATATTATTAAATTACTTAGGTAAGTTTACCAACCATAAGGGGCGCAGTCGCAGATTTACCAATCCCGATGAATTGGAGGAAGAAAGAAGGAAGGAGGAACAAAAAAAGAAATGGAGGCAGCAACACGGAGACGAAAGTAGCAGCGAAGAAGAAGCAGAGAAAAAAATTAGTGAGGAATCGGGAAGCGAGGAGGAAGAAAGCAGTAGCGATGAAGAAGACACAGGGGTAAATCCATAACTGATTATCTATTTCAAGAACAATGTAAATCAGTACAAAAAAAACAAAAAATAATGTTAATTTTTTTTATAGAAAGCGAAGGGCGTTTCCAGCTTAATTGAAATAGAGAATCCAAACAGGGTCCAGAAAAAAATGAAGAAAATTACAAAATTAGAAACTGCCGATTTAGCTGATAAGCCACAATTATCTCGAAGAGAAAGGGAGGAAATTGAAAAGTAAGCAGCACATTTAGTTATTATTTGATGCATTGTTATCGAAATCGTAATCTTTAACCATTTCCAACTTTGAACCTTAATTTTACTTGCTACACGTGGAGCCATGAGCCATCAGTGGATAATTTACTTAACAACTAATTCCATTTGAAGATTATTGTCCAATTAGTTAAGAACACTAAACTGCAGTAAAAGTGCATTTGTAATAGGAAATATTTTTCCAGGCAAAAAGCCCAAGCTCATTATCAAAAGCTTCATGCGGAAGGCAAGACGGAGCAAGCTAGGGCTGATTTGGCTCGTTTAGCGATAATTAGGCAACAACGGGAAGACGCGAAGAAACGTCGTGAGGCTGAGATTAAAGGTAAGAATATTTTTATTGGGTGTGAGGCAAGTTGGGCCGCACAATTATACACACCTGACCAAATTTCCATTTAGTGTCTGTTCAATATGTGGATTGGATATAATATCATTATTTGAATTGCTCTGTAAATTTTGATTTTAGAAAGAGAAGATGCTGCGAAAGCCAAAAGTGCAGCTACTCAAAAAGCGCTGGGAAAAAAGTAATTTTAAGATTTAACTTAGGATTTTCACTTTGTAACCAGTGACCCGGTTATTTTTTTAAATGTAGAATTAATTTTTGCTGGCCGGATGCGAAATTGAATTCGACCTATTTGATCAATAACAAACCAGTTTAATGCAATACATTTTTAGACCAAAATACGATTTGCACTTTGTGCTTAAAATTTTTCTTTTAAGCCATACTATTTCAATTTGTTGAGACATGATATGTGTTTTTATAATAATAAACTATAAAAGTTAGTATTTAGTTTCACTCCATATCAGTAGTTTATACAGGGTGGTTTTGGGTATTTTTCCCTTTGGTAGTAGATCAGATCGAAAAGATAATCGTTATTTTAATTTACTATTATTTCCAAATAATTTTGGGAAAACTATCGCTACTACTACCCCTATAAATCGCTTTAGTATATTCGAAGCTTTCGAGTTTAACAATTCTCGAGGAGCAAGTACTCGTAGTTGCAAAACCGAATTCTTCTAAAATAATGAATATAAGTTCTTCAAATCGCTGTACGCACATCGAACTTATACGGGGAATGTTTGCCGTTGCAAATAGTTCCTTGAGCCTTCAATTATTATTTAAATTGATAATAACTTAACACCGCTGTTACTTTCAATATTTGGAAAAGGTGGTAAAAAAATCATACTTGACTATTTGAGTCCCATCTACTGCTCAATAAGAAGAAATTACCTCATAAAAGGCGGTTGTGCTTAGAAGCCTAAAATTTAACAGCTGTGTCAATTGATTCATTGCATTTTATAAGAGAAAATTATTGTTCGTGGATACACTCGTACTAATCCTTTCCTGTTCCCCATTGCGGTTTTCTTTTTTCAATGAAACTTTGAATGCCTTCCTTGCAATCCGGTAGCTGTAAATTTTCTACCATCTTATCCCCGCCTAGTTCGTAAGCTTTTTTGACATCATATTGAATTTGTTTGTAGTAAAATCGTTTTCCTAGTTCGATAACATCTCGACTTTTTGTTTTAATTGCTCTGCAAATATTTTCAATTTCTTCGTTCAGTTGGTCACTAGAACGAACTTTAGTTATCAAGCCGATTTGAAAAGCCTCTTGTGCGGATACAGGCAAGCCAGTTAGGAGCATGTAGAGAGCTGGCATTTTATTTACACAACGAGATAAGGCAACGCCAGGAGTGGAACAAAATATACCGAAATTTGCACTGCAAATGAATAATAATCATTAGATGTAGGTTTAATAGTTAGATCAGCTATTTACCCAGGAGTGGAAAACTGGCTTTTTTCCGAGCAGATAGCAATATCGCATTGCGCAACTAATTGGCATCCTGCAGCCGCTGCCACGCCGTCTACTTTTGCTATAACTGGCACAGGACTATCTATTATACAGTTCATTAATTGCGTGGCTATTTTAAAACAAACTTCTTGTTTTTCCCGATTATTTGCCTAAAATTATTAAGTTTATGCGCTCCAATCTAAAGCTTCTGTATTAATGTGCAGGGTGTTTTATAACGATGTGCACATTTTTTCAATTCGTTTTTTTCTCTCATTTGTCCATTTGTGACTATCTTAAAACAATTTTCTTCTCAAGATTTAAGTCACCAGTCATCTTAGGCTAGTCTATAATAAAAAGGGGTAACAGTAACGAACTTTTACTTTTATTACCAACATCATGCATTAACTTTTCGTATTGAATCGAATGTTGTTCGTTGCGTTTTGCGCACTGGAGAACTTCAGGAAATCATAATCATAACAGGCAATATAATAAATATTAACCCTCACCTATGCCCTTATCCGATCTCTTCATCTGAACAATATCGTCTAGTTCAATTCAGAGTGAAAACAGCTGGGAAAATGCATTTAATAAATGATTAATTATTAGGATCATTCTTTGCCCTCAAGTTTAAAATACTCTACCTATATCTCAATAATCGCCAGGACCATTTTGGATAGGCAGTTTCCACAACTGTTTTTCACTAATTTGGTGAGTAATAAATAAACTAAAATTTGGGACACCACAATAGACAGAGAGATCTAAAGGGACAGAAGCAAAAGATCGAGAACATAAAACGTTCACATAATAATATTTCATTTCTATATGACCCCCATCATTCGTCATGACCCGCCATTCAATTCTCTATCCAACGATGACAAAACGAATTCTATGACTCGAATGGTTCTTGAGAAACTTCGAAAAAAGCAGCGTCATGTTCAAGTGGATTTTGCAACTCAAAAAAAAATCACGCAAATCTAAAACTTCTTGAATTCAAGCATTTTGTGAGAAAACTGCCAACATTTCCCCATCCATGGTTCACTTTCTAAAAAGGCAATTTATTTCTGTCTAGAATGATGTACAAATGAGCGTTCTTGCTCATTTTGCCTCCGAGACATGAGCAAAAACGGGACGGAAAACATGAAATTTTGCAATAATCTTACGCCACCCTTGCACA